TTTCCCTAGATCTCTTAAAACCAACCAGTGTTTTGGTGTTCTTATACACTAGTTCATAGCTTAGCTTCAGGAGCTTCTGATACACTCTTGAAAAAGAAAACAAGAAATAAATGAGTAAACTCTGCCAGACATTACCATGGCCATTTTACAGACAACTAAACAAAGATCACCAGGACGGGACACATGTTAAGGTGGATGAAGGAGCTGTACCTTACTTCTGATCATTGGCTCAGTGTACTTTCCACGACTTAGACTGGTGACCTGGATTTTCCTAAGTCCCATAGTAGCTTGTGGCTGTAAAAGAGTCTGTAAAAGAGGTTATCTTTGTGGTTGTGTCTTTATCAGCTCCTGTGGACACAGGGCAACCACCTGGGCCTCTGACCTCTGCATCTGTTCGCTCTTTCTGCGCATACATCTGTGTTCCTGAACGGTTCCTACCTGTTTCTTACTCTTTGCTGCTGAAGAAGAGATAGCAGTACCCCCCCACACTAGAGCTAGCACATAATCATTCTTATGGGCATAAGGATACTAATGGCTTTGTTCCTAGATTCTCACAGATAGCATCCGATAGGCTTATTTCAGTTCATTATTATTATTCATCTCAAGAGCTTCATCAAAATCGACTCTCTACCAGGAAACATTATTTATGGGCGAGTATAACTTCGTGCGATGATTTAGAAAGAGAAGAAAGATTGGGCTTCTGAACTCCTTGCCCTTCCTTGCTAAAATTATGGATCCATAAAAACTAGTTAGAAATGAACAAAGATTTCAGAAGAGGGCTGCTTTCTGGAGAAAGGGCTTTCAGATGCAGTTTATAGAAGAGTCTAGAAAGAACATTACTTGGGGCAGGTGATGGGTGGGGCTGTGGAAGCATAGCGAGGGGGATCCAACCAATAGAAAGCAGGCTCCAACCTCAGATCTCAAAATACAATCAAAGCACTGACAGAAACTATTAAAAAAAAAAAAGGGATATGAGGGGCATAGGGGCAGATCAAGAGAGGTCAGGAATGGGCCATTGGTGGAAGCAGGAGCTAGAAAATGAAGATGGATGTATTGGTTTCTTTTCTCCCATTGCTGGGACACCTGAATATACTGACACCTGAAATCAAGAAAGGAAAGGGTTATTTAGCTCACAGTTTGTGGAGGCTTCAGTCCATACTTGGCTGGTTCCAAGGCAGAGTGGCACACGGCAGAGGGCAGCAGTTCATGCGAGTGGAAAACAGCGAAGAGAAAAGGGAGGAGCAGCAGCTGCGGCAGCTAGCAGGCCTCTCTCCCCTCCTTATATGATATTCAGGCTCTCTGCCCAGGGCAGGGTAGCACTCTTACCCATAATCCCCCCCACCCCAATGACTGCCTGAGGCTTTGTGGGCACAACTAGACACAAACCATAGCTATGGGGTAATCACTTTTGTTGGCAGAAGAGTTTAGAAGCTGGTGATAAAATTTGTAGCGACTGAACGTGGAATGAAAGCTGATACATAACTTTAATTATATCATTCGGTTATTTGTTACCTTAATATTACCACCCTTTTTATTTAGTAACTGAGTGATGAGAAAGAGAGTCGATATTGATGAAGACCTTCAAGTCACAATATTTATCACAGAACCCAGCTTTCTTAGAGTGTAGATTCACAAAAGAAAATTTCGTATTTGTGAGGACAGTAAAAGTACTTGGCTTTTATTTATGTCCTCAAATGCTACACAAATAGGTTTTCTGTCCAGTGTGCTGAAATTTATGCTGCAGCGTCTTATTACAATATTGTAAATTGAACTATGTATGAATTTTCTTTGGAAATGCCATTATTTTTCCTGAATGTTCACCTCAGCCAGGCACTTTAAAACCTTTGAGTCAAAAAGGTGTTGTCTGAATTAATTATGGATTTATTTGGAAGAAATATTTGCTGACTGGTGAGGGTAGGACTAATGATTATTAAGGAGTCTAATTTGTTTGACAAATTGTGGATTTGCAGAGTTACAGACTTTCGGTACAGAGAATAAAATGTCTCCTTGGCAAGGTCTCTTTGGTGGGTGAGCTTTGCGTTCTTGTTTTATCTCTAGGGGACAGTGTATAGGACAGCCTCTCTTGGGGAAGGACCCTGAGACTCTGGAATCTGTGTCTTGCCTTCCTCTAGGCACAGGTGTGCATTTCTCTGGGTAGCATCTGTTCCCTTCTGAGCCCTCAGTGGCTCTGCAGAGCCCTCGGGAGTGTGACAAGTCATCTCCAGCCACCCTCTGGAGGCTGATCTGGTTCTCCTTCTGGCATTTCTTCTGCCTAGAGGGAGTAGCCTTCCCCAGACCTCTCTTCTTTGAATCACATTACTCACTCCAGATCTAGAACACGACTCCTGGTCTCAGATCACTCAGCCTGAAAGGCCACCGTACCATCTGTCCCCAGTGCCCAGCTCGGGCCTCTGTGGGAGTAAAGGCCGTGTGCTGTGGTGTAATGAGTTCTGGAAGCAGATTGCTCAGTTTCAAATCCTGGTTCTACCACCAGCCATGTAACCTTGGTCTATCTGTTACACTCTATGCCTCAGTTTCCTCACTGGAAGAATGGTGATGGAAAGACTTACCGTGCAAGTTTTTCAGGGGAGGTAAAGGAATTACTGTTTGTAAAGTGTCTAGGATTGACAGGTGAATTGGATCTGGAGAATGTGACTGTCTGGCACTAAGGTTGTAATTGGCTGTCTTTAGAGTCCTGGGTGGTCTTGCACTCTGGACTTTCAGCCACGTGGGGCTGGCCACCCCTTACTTCAATACAGCCCCTCTGCGTAGGGCATTGTACCTGTGCCTCAGTGGTCACTAAAGGAAGGAGCTCTAGTTCATGCAAACAGTCACTCTGCTGTAGTGCAAAGTGCCTGCCCCCACAAACACACAGCTTCCAAGGACAGGCTTTTCTCTCTGCGTTCCAGAGGATGGCCTCTTCCGGAAGGGGCCCCAGAAGAAGACGGGAAAGATAGTCCTCTGACCATGCAAGGGACAGAGTGGTGATTTCTGTTTGTACACCATTCTTCTGCTTGAGGGTGTTTCTCCTGCCCTCCTCTAGGCTCATGTCTATTCTTTTCCATGTCTATTCCCTGAGGAGGGTGACTGCGTACAACCCCAGTGACCCTAGTCAGACCAGAGGTGAGATTTCATCTCTGCCCCGTAGATGGCCAGTGTATGTAGCCACTCACTCGAGGTGAGACTACGGTTGTCACAGGGTCTCACTATGCATCTCAGACTCATAGTTATCTTCCTGTTTTCAGCCTCCCCGGCACTGGGATTATAGGAGTATGTCACTATGCCCAGACTCTGTGCCCGGCTCAGCCTACCCTGGGGGCTGGGCTGCATGACATGAAGCACCCGATTTTAATACCTTGGATTGCTTCCCTAAGCTAATGAATTAGTCTTCAAGTGGATACTAAGTACCTGCTTTGTAACAGAGCAAGGTGTAACTCTGCCTCTTCTCAAGAAGCATGGCATCTGGCCAAGTGACAATTAAATAATAATAAACTCAAGATGTAGTTAATTAAGAGTACAAGACAGTACAGACAAGTGTGAGTTGTATTCAATTGTGTGAGAGTTTGCTTGTGGTTCAAGGAGAAAATGCTTCAAAGAAAGGCTCTTAGCAGAGAATATAGGGGATACAAAGCAAACAGTTTATAATTCAGCTCTACCTGACGATCTCAGTTTACCAGCTAGGAAAAAAGCCAAGCACCAACAAGAAGAAGTAAAGTCAACTCAGATGTGCTGCACCTAGACCTGTCCTAATTTTATAGACACCTCTAATTCAGTAATCTGATAGGCATTTTTATGAACATATATCAAAGTCAGTTTTCCAAAATGTAATCATAGCCATAACTGTTGGACCCTATTACTAGCCATATGGCAGGGATCTGGGATCGTTAGGGCCCCTGCTTCTGGTCTCAAGCTTACGCCATGAGCTTGAGCTCCATGGTGGACACAGTTTTGTGACATGTCCCATTTACAGCTCAGAAGTTGGGATATTTGGCTTTGTTTTCAGTGTACGTAGACCTGCAGGGTGTGATTGCTTACAGAAGCAATGGCATGGGGTAGCCAGTTAGGCCCCGGGGAGCCAGCTCCAAAGTCCCTTTTTATTCTTTCTTCTACATGGTCCTTGTTTTTCCCAGGTAGTTTCTCTTTCCTTGATGGAGCTTCCTGGTCCATTGGAGAACTGGGGTCAGTTCTCAGCATCTCCTTTTCTCACCCTTGTATTCTCAACTGTCAAGAAGGCTTCGGTTCCCTACCCATCCTCTGACAACTGCCAGCTCTGGCCCCGTACCTTTCCACAGATCCCACATCCTGATTTCCGGGGTTTCTGTTATCTCAGAGCCTTCCCACGCTCACTCTTGCCACCAGCCATAGGGATGCCTTCTTACTCTCTCCTGTGGCAGATGGTGGTACCCCATGGCCTGAGCTCATTCTGCCATTCTGGTATCTTCTTTCTTATTTTTGGGTTGCATTGTTAGGGCCAGACCGTTGCATGACATTCTGATGCACCACTCTGTCATCTGCCCCACCCCCTTTGCTGTCACTAGAGCCACCTTCCTGATGCTTAGATGGGTTCCTGTATTTGTGTATTTGGAGGCCGCTCAGTGAGTCCTCATGGTCTGAGAAGTAAGCATGAATTTCCCATCAGAGCCTGTGACATCCCTGGCCTCCACTTCTTTCCAGCTTCCTCCTGTGTCCCAGCCTTTGTCTTAGACATTGTTTTCTCCATCCCACACACAGACACACTCTAGCCTCTGTGCTTTGGTTTCTGCTGTCTATTAGCCTCTTGTCTCCACTCCCCAGGAGGCCAGTTGATCCCTCAAGACCCAGCAGAAAAAACTCCTTTTTGTGAAGCCATTGCAGTCCCAACTCCAGCTCCACGATGGCACTTGCCTTGGCTACTCTGTGTGACAGTCTCCTGATCTGCTCTTCCTGGCAGCTGGCTTTCTTAGAATTATCATGGAGTCTTAGTGTTATCTTTTCTTTTTCTTTTTCTTTATTTATTTTTGACTGGGTAAAGTAGCTTTATTAGAGAAAGCCAGGGCTACATAGCATTTAAGAGTTGGCATTGGGGCCCTTTTTCTTGCCAAATATGGGCATGACATTGATGAAGTACCGGTTGTAGTGCATCTGCTGCTTGGCCCAGCCTGTCATATCCTCCTCCTCCTCCTCCTTCTCTTCCTCCTCCTCCTCCTCCCTATCTTCCTCCTCTTCCCCCTCCCTCTTCTCTTTTTCCTCCTCTTTTTACTTCTTCTCTTCCTCCTCCTCCTCCTCCTCCTCCTCTACTTCCTCCTTCTCTACTTCCTCCTTCTCCTTCTTCTCTTCCTCCCCTACCCCCGTTTGATCACTTTGGGAATCTGACTTCTCACTTTTTCACCCCAAGCTAGGGAACCATGGACTTCACCTCCAAGCATGCAACCAGCTACTTCCAGAGTGGCCAGGGCTTCCACTCCACACTGGCCTGGGGTGGTTTCATCCTCCAATGGTTGGCCTGCCAGGAGAATGGCGTGATCGTCCGGTGTGATGCCCTTCAGTGATGCCACATGAGCCTTGATCTTGGTGATCATCTCCTGGCCGGTCACTTCAAGGGCATGTAGGTCCTCGGTGTGGACAAAGAGTTGCATGTTGACAGCTGAACGGCTAAGCCAGCCACCACTACCGCAAGGATGGAGTCCAGAGAGCTCTTTGATTTTAAAGAGAATAAAATAGTATGAAAAACCCTTAGAAATGATACAGAATTTCAAGAAACAAGATGAGAAGAATTCAACAATGATTGTTATATTGTACAATGTTGTCTTCAAAGTAGTTAGTTGTTCAGGTTGCCAGATAGAAGCATGTAAAATTGGTCGAAAATATTAAGCATTAAGTGGGATCTTGTCTTATTGAAAAGCTTTTGCACATCAAGAACCTTAGTGTTGTAACTTCATTCCCTGGTCTGTGGTCAGCCCCCACATAGTGGGCATGAGGGTGGTTGAAAGGATGGATGAATCAGTGAATGGAGAAAAGGAAATGAAGAGAAAAGGAGGGTGGGGAAGGAGGTGAATGGTGGAAGCAAAGAATGAAAGAATTTCTTGTAGGGTCCTAAAGTATCATCTGTGTAGAGCTTTTTTCTCTCTCTTCCTAGTGTGTAAGGATGTCACATGCTGGGGGGGGGCGCTGGAAAATAGTGAGTTTTCACTAAATATTGTAGATTGACATGTTTGTGAAAAAATGTGCTTTAAAAATGTCTGACCATTAAACATAAATTGAGTCTATTTCTGTTTAAAATTAAAAATTTTCTTTGTAATTTCTAAAAAAGAAAAAAGATAGTGAATGTCCAGTGTTATTTATGGTGAAAACAGTCTGCCTACAGTGGACATTAGGGGCCCTTTAAAAAAAATAAAATTAAACAATGTCTGCTTAAGAAAAAACGAGAAGAAATCCAGCTGGGAGTTCTTCTCCCTTACAGACCTGCTTTTTGACTTACTGCGCAGGCCCTGAAAAGCTGAAATGGGCAGATCCCTTTGGAAAATAAGACAATTCCCAGAAAAAGAGAAAAACCAGGAAGACTTTCATTTTCTCCTGCAACTACATTCTTTGTTTCCTTCTTTTACTATATTGACATTTATGTCTTGTAACTATGGTAATGAAGCAGTCTCCTGATGAGAGATGGGAGGTAAACAGCCCCCATGGTGGGGCGATGCTAAACAAAGCGACCCCCAGGACAGCAGAGGTCTGCATTAGCTACCTTCACTGATTTCTCTGAAGCTCCAAATTTAGCTCACAAAGCACAGCTAGTAAGGAAATTTTGGAGGAGGCTCCCAAGCGAGGATTATAACAAGCATAAAATCAACCAGCATTAATCTCACCCTTTAATGATCTATGTATGGTAATCTAACATTGCACTTTTCTTTCTTCTTCTGTCCTTGGCGGAAGGCAGCCCGCTGAGCTCCCACTTGCTCAGGCATCCTGATAAATGTCAAGCCGTCTTTTGGAGCTGGCACTTAGTTAGACAGCTAAGAAGTCACGTATTTCCTCCAACTTGTCCTCTTTCCCCAAGATATGGTTCTGTGTTGAGGATAATACCCAAGAAACATTTTTTTTTTCATTTATGTATTTGGTACAGGGTCTCACTACGCAGCTCAGAATTGTACTAATCCTCCTGTTTTCAGCCTCCCCACTACTGGGATTACAGGCGTGTGCCACCATACCCGGACTTGGTCCCTGGCTCAGTGCACCCTGAGAGTGGGACCAGGGTTCAAACTCTGTCCCTGCACTTCCAAGATACTTTCTTTACCCAGTGCAGAATAAAAGCTATGAACCTGGAGGAAAGCTATCACTTCTGCAGGCTGCAGCAGTGTTGGCATTTTATTGGCTTCTCTTGGGGCCTGCCCATATTCTGCTTTTTCCTGGTGATGGGCTCAGGTGAAGCCCGAATGCCGTGTACAGGTTTTCTAACAGGTTGTGGAAGAGAGAGTTCCCTACCCAGGGTATGTCTGAGCGAAATTGCATTTCAAGGCCTGGGACAGGGCTGTGCACCTGCCACCTTAAGTTGATTATGATTGGGCCTTGGCGGGCAGAATCTGAGGCCCAGTCTCTCCGATCAGCTGTACAAATCTTTTGGACAAAAAATACAAGAAATCCATAGCTCATTCACAGCCGTTATATATTATATTTTGCTCTCGGTGTTAAGAGAGGAAAATCCTGTTTTAAAACTTATTAAAATGTTACCCATCTAGATAGTTTTTAAAGATAATTTATATTAGCACCGGTGCATAGCCTTTTAAATTAATAATTCAGAACTGTGACTGGAGGTTTCAGTAATCTGTAGTAGTATATTATCTGACTGCTCCACTGAGAAATTAGCACTTATGGACTAAGGTATAAAATTGAAAAATCTAACCCATTTGGTAGTCTGTTCTCAGCTCTGAGAGCGTTCTTAAATGAAAGCCTATTAGTGTGAAAATTCTGATTTCTAGAATCAAATCTGCTTTAGGTCATTATGGAGTTTTATAAAGAAAGCCTCTGCTGCCTAACAACACATTGAAGTCTTAAAAGTAGGCAAATTATTGATTTTTAGCAAGAGTTTTACTGCCCTAGACACTGAAGAATGATTCTCATGACTAAAATTTATAGGTTATTAAGGAGAAGAATGCAGGGAAAAGACCCGTTGGAAGATTCACAGAATTAGCTCATTTTATTCGTTAGAATTCACTTAGCACTCTATTCTGAAATATAGATGTATCTGAATCTGAAACCTGCTTCTTGGTTATATGGTAAATTTATATAGATCAAAAATGTACTGGGATCATATTTTAGCTCACGAGAACACAATCACTTTTTGGAGCTATGCAAAGAAAGGGCAAAGCTTTTGCTTTTTCTTTTTGAGCAGCTGAGTTTGTTTAAAAGATTCAGGTTGGCCAGGCGAGCTGCTGAGTGGCCTCTTTTCACCTGGGCTTGGGTAAGGTGTGACTTTTTTAGCCCAAACTAAACAGACACATTGCAAAACCCTTTCTACAGCACGAGTGATGTCTAATGTTACGCTTCATGTCGTGTTGTAGATCAGAGCCTGTGCCTCAGTTTTGAATAGGGGAGCTCTTGTGAATCCCTTAGATGTTAGTCTGTTTTGCCCCCTTAAGAAGGAGTAAGTAGAGTTGTTGGAAAGGCGTCTCTGTGAAAACAGGTCCACATTTCATCATGTGAGGGTTAAAATACACAATGTACTTGATGCTTTAGGCTGGAGGCAGAATAATAATAGCAGGGAAAGGAGGGACTAGGAAGATTAGAGGGAAGTCCCTATCCCAACTCTGTCACTCGTCCAGGAGTATGACAGTGCCTCGAGTCTCATTCCTCAAAGGTAAGATGGAAACTGTAACACCCAGCAGTCTTCCATCAAATAGTGTGTCATTCTACCCAATGTACCCAATAGGCTGCTTGAGGGAGGATAAGATGGAATCGTGTAGCTGGTGTAGCTGGATGGTGTTTTTTTTTTTTTTTTTTTTGTGGAACTGGGGATTGAACTCAGGCCCTTGCGCTTGCCAGGGAAACACTTATTCCACTGAGCCATCTCCCTGGCCCTGGATGTGTTTTTAAAGAAGCGTGTGTAGATGTAAGGCATGCAATGAGCAACCACTTCAAGTTGTAAACATGCGTAGTTGTATCAGCTTTCCGTCTTCACACCCCTGCTGTCCGCACTAGCTTCTGAAGGACTCTTCCCTTGGAATGCTCCTTCTCTTAGACCCAAATTCACTGCCAGGGAGGTGTTTAACCCGAGTTGGGGGTCTCTGCTCCAGCCAAGTAGCCAGCAGAGCTTTGAACCCCTCAGTGGATGACTGACCACCCTGGTGACGACAAGGTCCCCACTCCTTGACCTGGACACGTGGCCCTGTATTTCGAGTGCCTGTGGACTTCCCAGCCTTCTGGACACATGGCTTTCCCTCCCACCCAGCTGGACCTCCTTCAGTTTCCCCCACGCACGAGGGCCAGTGGCCTTTGGGTTCACACTTGCCTGCTTTGCTGCCTGGTGTGCCCTCTTGGACCTCTCTGCTCCCCAACTAGTCCTCCCTCAAGGAGGGCCTCAAAGGGGGACCATTTCCTCCCGGGTGCCCTTGGATTTCCTCTTCCAGGGGCGTCTGCCATCCCTCTTCATCTCCCACTGACTGCCCCATCATTTTGGGCTCCCCTTCTCAGTGCAGTCCACAGATACCGAGAGTGTGTGGCAGGTCCTTCATCTCTCCTGGTGCCACCTCCTGGGAACAGCTCCTAGGCTGTCTTGTTCGTGCACTTAGGCTGGGTAGGTAGCCAGGTGAGTGACAGACATAAGCTTTATGTCTCACTTTTTAGTTCTTGTGTGTCAGTTGTCATGAGTGAACAAAACAGCAGTGAGGTTGCGAGATGTGTGTTCTATGAAGACCTAGTAATAATCTAGCTCCTGTTCCTCGTACTATGATGTTCCAAATCTTCTGTAAAAATACCAGTGTCTTGCTAAGGAGCATCTAACCTGGTCCCATGTTCTCAGGGCTGAGGGCAGGCATGGCTAACGCATATGAGGAGTCTCCTCTGGACAAATGAAGCCTTGGAATGAAGCTGCTGGGGAGCCAGCACTTGGGGTGTGAAACCCTTGCATCTGACTAATCAAAGCCTTCCTTCCTTGCTCTGTCCCACTCTGTTGACTCCTTCTGAAGTTTGCAGGGTGACCCTTCTTAAGGATTTCTCTTTAATTGTGAGCAGAAGTTGAGTTGGTAGGTAGAAGCACTCGGAACCTCAGGAACTTTGGAAGAGAACACGTGACACCCCATGAGTCGCCAGTCTGAGCAGCAAGAAAATTTAAGGAAAGTCACTGCCAAGATGTGTGTATAGTTCCGCATCTGTTAGCAGTCACCATCTTTCCAGCTGTGTGTGTGCTGTTCCAGGAAGCCTAATAAATCTGGTGATTTAATTATACTAAATTACTTAATCAGAGAAATTTTTATGCTACAAATTATTACTTTAATAAACCAGAGAGAATAAAGAAAAATTTCTTGAATATCTTTGCCAAATCAGTCTAGGCATCCATTTTCAATTTAATAACTAATAGCAGAGGAGATTGAAATAGATGTTATTACAGATTTTTACAAGGCAAAATATATTTAAGCAGGATCAGAAGGTTAAT